GAAGATTGGCCTAACATATCTCATGTCCCAGAGGTGGAAATACTATGATTCAATTAATTTGGAATGTTCCGTCTCAACTTTCACATTCATGCAGCTCTGTACTTTACATCCACAACGTAATGCCTGATGATGTTATTCAAATTCTTCTTCTCCTTCTTCCTCTGGTTCGTGGCCATTTCACTTGATCCTTACAATCAATTCATTGGWCTYTAATTTGTCTATTTAGGAATTACCGTAACTGCCTTTCTCATATTTTTAATGTTCCTCTGTGGCAGGTATAATAAGCGAGGAGCATCTCTTATGTGTTATAACAACTCGAGAATTACGTACGTCATTTAATTTCAACCCACTGTTATTAGTTTGTGGTCAACACCTGTTAGGTTTCAACTTTCAATTGTACTCTGTAGCGGTTGAACAAGTTTATTCCTTGCAGATCCAACTCATTTCTTTATTTGTTCATTTCTCTTGTCTATGGACGATTCATTCTATGAAGTTTGTGAATCAGGATGTGTTCTGAAATAAACTATTGCTTTCCTTTCCAATCCTGGCAAAACAACAAAATCGAATTAACCATTGATTATTTATTCATCAATTTCTATACTGTTTCTTAGCTTGCTGAGAAACTTGACAATTGCTTTAGAGTTAATTTTATACCCAAGGAACAGGGGATGGACAAAAACAGCCCCGGAAATCTGAACTTGGCTAGCGTTACATTCATTGCTGTAACGAATTCGTTAAAATTAGAGGTCTGTCTTGAAAAGCTAGCTTCAGAGGCTGACATCAAGACATTAGCAAAGATCAGGCAGAAACATCACAAAAGGTTTGGGATTTTGCACTTCTGTCATGCTAAAGAAACAGTTGTTCAATCACTCAGTCCCTGGACTCTAAGACCCATATTCCTATTTCGATCTGTTTTCAGTGATGGCAACTTCAACCCCCGGGATGAGCATTCAAACCCAACCACAACTTAAAGAAATAACAAAACAATCCAAGTTTGCACTGTTTTCTCCTCAGCCGTTGTAAATTCAACTCTAGTTTGCATTGTTTATTTTCCAAGTTTATGCTTTTTGACATGATTCCTTTTGTCATCAATACCAGAATTTCCTTTTGGATTTTGAACCTTGACCATTATTCATGGTTCCAGCATTACATATAATATGGATGCAACTTTCGTCAGTGAGGTTTATGTCATATCCCCCCTTGAGAAATCGTGGAGGGGCTCAAGGTCCTCAATAATTTGAGACTCCTGATCATTCTGATTCACAAAATCCTGCATAGCCTTATGAATGTGGTCTAAGGTTTTTGCAACATTTATGACAACTGATTCCAGCATCACATATAATATCAGTAGATATGTCACGGTTGGCCGTGTGGCCCGAGAATTATTTAGGCAACTGGTTATGTTTTACTTCAAACTTGGTCCTTGGCCAAAAATTATTGAATTGGTCAACAATCCATTGATCCAGATGGTCAAACCATCGACCTGTTCAATATTTTTTGGCAGTTTTTTAATTTAATTATTTTTTCAATTTTTTGTCAAAATGGGCTATCTATTCAAAACAGGTGGTTGAACCATCAATCCAGAAACCGGTGGCCAGAATGATTCTAATTCTGTATCATTTTTTAAAACATTGAAGAGTACTATGTGATTAGGTTTCCTTAATTCATGAAGTATTCTCCTGATGGAGGCCCATCACAAGGCCCATCTCACCATTAGGGGCGGCAGCTCATAGGCTATGGATAAGGGTAAGGATAATCCAAGAAAGAAGGATAGTTCAAGAAAGGAAGATAATTCAAGAAAGGATAATCCAAGAATTCAAGACTCATCAAGAATTCAAGAATTCAAGACTCCAAGATCCATCAAGATTTCCAAGAATTCAAGATAACCYAAGGTTTCCAAGATTCATGCATCAAGGGAGATCGAACGGTGGAGATCAAGCCAAGAAGAGTTCGATCCTATCAAGATTAGATGTTTTGATCTATCCTAGTTCTCTTTCCTAATTACTTTACAACTTCCAGATGTATTATAAATGCTGCTATTTTCCAGTTAATAGACACTTCACACTTCAGAATTTCTTCAGATATCCTCTTCAAGTTTCGCCACCTTTTCTCTCTCCTAGAGAAATCATGTAGTTTCGCTAGAAACTAGTGTTCGCCCGGTGCTTGCATAGCCAGCTCCGGTTTTCCATTGCTTCCACGCTGCGTCAGGTGGTATCAGAGCAGGGATTTCACCTAGACAGATGGCCAACCCAGATGGAAGCAGTCGCAACCCACCCCGTGACGGAGATCAGGGGTTACAAGCTATTTGGAGAGCAATTGAAGAACAACGCACAGCCACACGTAACATCGAGCAGCAGTTGGTAGAGATGGCTGAACAATTGCGAACCTTGTTACGGGAGGTTGTTCCACGGAACCGGGAAAGTCCATATCTAGTCATAGGAGATAGTGATGATGAGTTCTTGACGATGATAGTGATGATGAGTTCGAATTTGGTGGTGCTCCAGTTTTTCCCGGCGACGACAGAAACGGTAGGAATTGGCGCAATCAAGGTAATTTCAATCACCATCGGAACAATGATGAATTTAAACTCAAAGTAGATATTCCTAGTTTTAGTGGGGATCTTGGCATAGAAGGACTTCTAGATTGGATCCCAGAAGTCGACCGTTTCTTCGAGTATATGGASATATTGGAAGAACGGAAAGTAAAATTGGTAGCTTTCCGATTAAAAGGAGGCGCATCTGTTTGGTGGGAATGGATGAGAGAGACCYGTATCAGAGAAGGAAGGGGTCCTGTTCGAACCTGGAGGCGCATGAAACAGTTAATCAGAGGTAGATTTTTACCCCCAGATTATGAACAGTACATGTTTGAATCATACCAACGGTGTGCGCAGGGTTCCCGTAGTGTTAATGAATATACTTCTGAATTTTTAAGATTAGCTGAAAGGAACCAATTATCTGAAAGTGATAACCAGCAGGCAGCCCGTTATCTGAGCGGTTTGAGACCGTCTATCAGAGATAAAATTGGTGTGCAGATGGTTCTTAGTGTGCAGGAAGCAAGGAACCTAGCCTTGAAAGCAAAATTGATGTTCCAAGAAAAGGCCCGCAATGATAATTACCGCCGGTACAGCGGGAGCGACAACAGACCGACAACTGTTAATAGGAACAAATCAGCTCCGGTAGTACAACCTTCTCACCCGGTAAATACAGCTAACGCCGGTAAGGCCATTACAGGAGGACATACTCRAGGTAACCCTTCCAACCCTTCTAAACCCAATAATCCCTATGCCAAGCCTGCTCCTTTTAAATGTTTTAAATGCAATGAAGTTGGGCATAGGTCCAGTGACTGTCCCAGGAGGAAGGCAGTTAATATGATAGAA